CCTTCCCGCACATTTCAGCGCGGGAGCTGAACGCTCGCAGGCGCGCCGCCAGGTCTGCGGGCGGCCCGCGGGAAAGAAACTCAAGGCCGGGGTCGCGTATCATCAATCGGTTGTCCATCGTCCAAAGTTGCACTGGCGACGTACTGGTTGAACGCGGAGCGAGCAGCATCACGCGCGTGCCTGAACGCCGCGCAGGTACAGTGCACGCGCGATTGGGACTTCAGGTCGATCACGCGCGTCTCCACCAGGCTTGGCAACACCACGCGACTGAGGATTTCACTGCGGTCTGCCATGCTGCTGTCCGCGAATGCAATGCGCTGCCTGCAAGTAAGGCGGCGGCGTCCACTTGTCTCAGAAGATGTTCCCGCGGGCCCGAAGGGCGACCGCCAGCTCGAGCCGCGGCGCCGGCAGGCCAGATAAGGATCATGCAACAGCAAAGACGATGACAGAGCAACGAGGTATCGGCGAGTGCATGACCGGCCTCCGTTTCCTGCACTTCTTTCCTGTAGTTCCCCTAGCTCATCGAGCTCAGCAGATGTTTCTGCGGGTCCGAAGGACGACCGCCAGCTCGAGTCGCAGCGCCGACGAGCTGCATCCACATCAGGCAACACCCCAGGAGACACTGGCACACAACGATTTGACGTCAGTCAGTGCCAGACCACTCCATGTCTAGTTCCTCGCACACATACAGTCGATCGCAGATGCGGGATAATCGAAGTAGAATGACGGGTCCAATCTGCGTCCGCGTAGGACGTCACTATGCTGGACCCCGCAGCAGGTCTCGAAAGTGGCGACAGTTTCATGGGCCCCACAGCAGCCCTCGAAAGTGGCGACAGTTTCACAGATCGCAGCCCCCCAGGGATGGCGAGGTCTAATCTGTATCCCCGTAGGGCGTCACTCCGCTGGCCCCCCAGCAGCCTTCGAAAGTGGCGACAGTTTCACAGATCGCAGCCCCCCAGGGATGGCGAGGTCTAATCTGATCCCCGTAGGGCGTCACTCCGCTGGGCCCCCCAAGCAGCCTTCGAAAGTGGCGACAGTTTCACAGATCGCAGCCCCCCAGGGATGGCGAGGTCTAATCTGAGTCCCCGTAGGGCGTCACTCCGCTGGGCCCCCCAGCAGCCCTCGAAAGTGGCGACAGTTTCACAGATCGCAGCCCCCCAGGGATGGCGAGGTCTAATCTGAATCCCCGTAGGGCGTCACTCCGCTGGGCCCCCCAGCAGCCCTCGAAAGTGGCGACAGTTTCACAGATCGCAGCCCCCCAGGGATGGCGAGGTCTAATCTGAATCCCCGTAGGGCGTCACTCCGCTGGGCCCCCCAGCAGCCCTCGAAAGTGGCGACAGTTTCACAGATCGCAGCCCCCCAGGGATGGCGAGGTCTAATCTGAATCCCCGTAGGGCGTCACTCCGCTGGGCCCCCCAGCAGCCTCGAAAGTGGCGACAGTTTCACAGATCGCAGCCCCCCAGGGATGGCGAGGTCTAATCTGAATCCCCGTAGGCGTCACTCCGCTGGGCCCCCCAGCAGCCCTCGAAAGTGGCGACAGTTTCACAGATCGCAGCCCCCCAGGGATGGCGAGGTCTAATCTGAATCCCCGTAGGGCGTCACTCCGCTGGGCCCCCCAGCAGCCCTCGAAAGTGGCGACAGTTTCACAGATCGCAGCCTCCCAGGGATGGCGAGGGCGAATCTGAATCCCCGTAGGGCGTCACTCCGCTGGGCCCCCCGGCAGCCTCGAAAGTGGCGACAGTTTCGCAGATCGCAGCCCCCCAGGGATGGCGAGGTCGAATCTGAATCCCCGTAGGGCGTCACTCCGCTGGGCCCCCCAGCAGGCCTCGAAAGTGGCGACAGTTTCACAGATCGCAGCCCCCCAGGGATGGCGAGGTCTAATCTGAATCCCCGTAGGGCGCCACTCCGCTGGGCCCCCAGCAGCCTCGAAAGTGGCGACAGTTTCACAGATCGCCGCCCCCCAGGGATGGCGAGGTCTAATCTGAATCCCCGTAGGGCGTCACTCCGCTGGGCCCCCCAGCAGCCCTCGAAAGTGACGACAGTCTCGCAGATCGCCGCCCCTAGGTAAAAGGCAAGCGAGAAGAGGACGAGCAAAGAGAGGAGGAGAAGGGAAGCAAGAGAGGGGAGCAGGAACGAAGAGAGGAGGAGAGGGAACGGGAGGAGGCGGGAAGGAAGGAAGGAAGGAAGGTGGAGACCGCAGTGCTCTATTCAAAACGAGTACCCAACGCAGGAGGGGTGGGGAAAACAAAAAAAAAAAACACCACCACTACCACTACTACTACTACTACTACTACTACTACTACTACTACTACTACTACTACTACGACTACTACTACTACTACTACTACTACTACTAACTCTTACTACTTAACGAACTTACCTACTACGACTACTACTCTACTACTACTACTACTACTACTACTACTACTACC